GTGATAATGGTACAGGGGGCCAAACGCAACGGTACAGTACAGCACTTATATAGGTATGTTATATTATATTTAGTACAGCTTCATTAAATAGTACAGTACAGAATTTGAAAAGGGACAGTACGGAGGTTCTATATACCCCGTAAATCTGCCGGAAATCAAACTTTGCCTTAATATCAAGGATATCAAGACTCTAGATCTATTTTTAGTAATTTGCCCTTAAAAAGTTGTTCGTTGTTGTTATTTATATTGTATAAACTGAAAGCAATTCAAAAAAAAAAAATAAATTTTTTCTAAATTTAGCAATCGTTTGCGAGTTATTAGTGTCATTTTTCTCGAGAGTATAGCTTGCGGTTCTTCACAAAGTTTCTTATGTTTCTGCTTTTTTTTACCGCTGCTATATGTTATACTTGTTTTTGTATATACATACCCCGCTTTACACTCGTTAAAAGTGTTGTTCGAAAAAAAAAACCTCTCTTCGCTGTCAAGCGCTTAGTCCATATTATTTGTTTACACTGCTTACGCTCGAAGAGACAACCGTCGGTATTTACGACAATGCAATAAAGAAACTTTGACGCAAAACTTACTCTACAAACCTTGAAAAACAAGTTTTTACGACGCTTTAGCGATTATTGATGCCGCTGTATGTGTTATTACCACTACAGATATACTATACTTTTTCCGCTACTTCAAGCTATGAGTTTCGATCGCTTTAACAGGATATAATGCAATAATTCTTTTAGTGTCTTTTTATGATGATCATACTCGGCAGCCAATGACTCGTGGTGATCGGAAATAATGTACAAGAAGATGAAAACATCTAACTTTGTGTCTGGGCTTATTCAAATAGCGTATCAATTTCTGAGTTTTGTTTGTTGACTCTTGTTGAGGAATGATAATTGTACTTTTTAACAAACGATGGGCATCAATTTTTGTAAGTTCTGCTTTTGATCGATTGCTTACTCTCGCTGAGAAACAATAATTGTATTTCAAGAGATAATGAGTTTTAAATTCGTAAAGTTTAGACGCTCGGCAAAAGAAAAACAACAAAATTCAATCTCAATAAAGTTTGAGTTTACGGTTTGGACCAAATTCGATAACGTATCAAGCAAACAGACTGTTAAAAACGCTTATCGATACTTCGGCTTGATGTAAATGGATAATTTTGGTTCGTACTACTCCATTCTAAATCACACTCTCTGATTCCTTCTCTCACAAAATATATTCTTTGTGATACTTCTTATTTACTTAGAGTGATAATGTTCGGACTAGCTTAGCATGTCTCAAATTACGAAGCTGGTTACGTCGTTAGAAGTGAAATATTTTCGCTCCACACTTGTAGAAAATAATTGAGAATCACATTGCTATTTCTTGGCCAGCCATCTCCCGATGAAGCCGTTGCATTACGATATGAGATTCGACATCAAGTGTCGAACGCAGTCTTAGCAGGAAAGGGCTCACGAGCATCACAGCGACGTAAAACTATTACGCAGGTTTGTTGCTGGAGCAATTATGTGGTTCGCGATATATATGTATTTGTGAAATTATGCTTACGTCCTCGCCACGGGTTTGCTAATGCTTAATTAGTTTTCTTTTTTTTAGCCTTGGTCGACATACGACCGACTAAGGAAAATCACGATTCTTTAACCTTACGAGACATGGGATTATGTAGTATTTGCAACAGTAATCTGAAGTAAAAGGAATTTATTTTTGCGTTGGAAGAAAAATGGTGCGCTCGGCAATTTGCGTTATTCAACATCATTTACCCGCTGTAGTTGGCTCCATCAATTCGCAGAGGTATGTACATAATAATAATGGTCAGATAATAATGGCGATTGTCCTAATTACTAGATATTTTATAATATCAAGCTCAGCGTACGTTACGCATTCTCTGATAATGGATCATTATCGATGTTGTTAATAATCGATTGACAAAGTTTGGCATATGCAGGAAAGTGGACCTTTCGACGGTCATTCCGAGACTATAACGCAATAGACGACGATAAGTAGAATGACTGGCATTCAGACGTCAGTAATACTTACGGATGGGTGGTAGAGAGAAAAGAGGAAAGAAAAAGTGAATACAACAGTAAATACTGCCGATAAAAATTGTCTGTTATTCTGGAGTATCGTTTACTGCTCCATGCAGCTTGCCATAAATGATCAGGTATAACTTTTGTATTTCGGAATATAAAGTCTTTCATATATATATATCACTATGTGCATAATCTTATGGTTAGAAAATATTACTTGCAAATTGTGAATTAACACTGTATGATGCAAGTTTTCTTACTGATTTTGTCTTACTTGTTCACTGACTTGTAGTGCTGACAATTACAAGTCGCTGTTCTGCGATCTTTGGATCGATTAAGAAACACAACCATATATATATTACAAACTAACAAGGATCGAACAATCTTGGTGCTAAAGCAATTGAGTGACTTTTATTATCTTGGAATCGTCAAATTCAGATCATAATTGTCGTAGCAAACTAACTTTAAGTATGCGATCAAATGATGAAGAGACGTTGTCATAGAACAAAATTCTATGTGTTATGTCTTTAAAATAGTTAATAACTTGCGAATATATGGATATCGAATTATTTATTCTGATTAATTTTTAAACTAAATGTTGTCGGCAAATGTTGATATGTAAGTCTGCTGTTAAGTGTATCCGTGCTAGTTAATGCGAGAGTGGTTAATGATCTCGAAAACTTCTCCACAATAATGTGGACGTGATGAGGAACATTGACACGTTTGGCACGTTGGAATGTGCTTCTTGAGATATTCATTAAACCCTAGCTTTTTTTTTTGTACTTTCTCAACATCAGCTCTATCCTTCAGTAACCCAACAATGACGTCCATTACCTGATTTTTTGCGTAAATTGGCTTCATTTTCTACCCTCGCAATATCCTCGATGAGACTTATGGTATTTGCGTGACGAAATTCCTTCTGAAGCAACGCTTTGTAGTGATTATTCCGTAAAGATAGGTCATATCCTTCCCCGAAAGTGACATCAGCTTTTCGTTTTTCCATTAGTCATATTATTTTGTTGGATAAAACAGTGTGGAATTAGCAACATAGCAGTAAGCCCACCCTGAGCAAACCCAATGGCGATTTGATATGACTTGCATACAAATTAATTTCTCGAGCGCTGTGATTACATAATCCACACACAACTTGTAGATTCTTTTCCTTTCCTGGTAATGTTTTGACAAGAGCGATACATGCATGGAGGATAGTTGAAATAATTTAGCGACACAAACGCTCTTGTAATTCTCTTCCAATTAGATATATTAAACGTGTCAACATGAGTTGCGCGCGTTTACTGTTAGACTTCTTTTCCAGGGTAGATTATTTGAGTATATAATATAGTAGTCATTATTTAAAATTTATGATACTGAATAAAAATGCGTAACTACGTTCTGGTTAGTTTAAAAGCTTTATAGTTGGTTTCGCGCGCGTTGCCTAACATTGTTTTTACACCTCTCCCAAAACAATCTATGCAGTCGCAAAATTGTCTTGCTCAACTCTTCATCGTGATTGCTTTTATATAATAGTATTTAAGCTTTGTGACTAGAATGTAAGAATTCTGTAGCACTTTTGTAAAAACCAAAACTTTGATTCATTCCACTGCTTATCGATGGTATCAATTCGACGAAGATTTATCACCACTCAACAAAGCAAAGATGTACCATCGTTGGGTGTATTGTACCGAATGATTTACTTCAAATTATTTGTTATATCGCTAATATAAAGAAACTCTAACGACCATAAATTTACTGTCACAATAGTCCATTACATTAACATTTCACGTCCATTCGATTGAATTATCATTACTAGTTCAATATTCAACCAAGCAAACAATTTAAAACATTCTGAATTCAGTGACAGAATGACAGCTTGAACAAACGTAAGAAGACGTAAGAATACAAGGTAGTAGGTTATTTGCTTCTGTGGTGGCAATAAACTTGATCGTAAATTCGCGATCCTCATTCTCACCTTCATTAAATATGTATTTCTAAACTATGCGGGGTAACATAATTAATGATTATAGTAGTAGCATAATATACAGTTTCGAATTTTATTGTCAAACAATCACACTTATCACTGCTTGCCGGAAGCCATAATTGTTTTGTAAATTTCTTTGCAAAACATTAAACAATATAACTATTACTATCCATAATAATAACAAAATAATAATTAAATCAAAGAAATATGACACATAATCTGTGCTTATAAAGAGAACACTCTGAGACATGCAAGCTTAGATTCTAATGTAAAATAGTATATTTATGGAATTTTTTGCATAATATCACGCGACTTACCCCACTTTAGACGACCCCATGTTTGGTGATCGTCTATTTATGTTTCTCATATCACGTAATCGGATTATTTTCTGGCACAATTGCGAAAAAGGCCGATCGAATTCTTCCTCGTATAGGTGTTATCTGGTATCTGTGATATTAATTACCGTGCACCAGGCACAGTTTCCTTTATTTACTTTCAGCGCTTTGTAATCTTTTTAGTTTACGTGCTCCGCCAACTAATAAGCATTACGTACAGGCACGTTGCAATATTAATTATTTTAATATGACAGGCTACAGTAATAATAACAATTGCAGTTACATTAAATGAATGAATCTATTATAATTATATTATTCAACAGCAATATTAAGTGGGTTTATATGTTAGAGATACTGAAATATGTGCATCTGTCGCTCCATCTTTGAGAGAAAGTTTAATCGCGTCCGTTTGCTTTTCTCTGTTTTCTTTAAGAAAGTAGTTTAATCTTATTGATGCTTGTCCCATGTATTCTATATAAAGCATTAAGAGCAAGTTAATTTATGGTCAAAAGCATAGTACGATATGTACACATTGCTTACCATCCTGGTTACTTTTGCCATCACTATTGTACACCGACAGTCTCAACGTATCTTCAAGTGTTGCAACTGAGAATATTAATGCCTACACAATCACGAAGATATCAGTATATATGCTTGCAAAAATGTATATTACGATTGCTCCCTTACCTGATTCCATTTCGGCGATAAAGTATCCTTTACGGATTTGGTCTTGAATATTTGTCTGCTTAACTGGGCTCGACAATGAAGATTTAACGGCTTGTTTGCATCTTCATAAATTTAAATATTGTATTAGCAAACGAATAAGTCAATCAAAATTAAAACGAACAAACAACAAATAAACAGACGAAATAAACGAAACTCACATAGTCCATTATTAGGAATATAAGCCTCGTACACTAGCACCTTTAATGTTCCAATATAATCGGACACTATCGGATTTCCCTCTAATAGTACGATGTGAGAATTACTACAAAGGAATTGTTGTCACGATAATAATGGATACGGTTAAAAAATGCGACTTACCGGCCTTACGTTGACAATATCCACTCGCAGTTTCAAGATTGTTTACCCATTGTCTTTTCACAGATACGTTGTTCGTTCTCAGATTAATTTTATATGTATTGTGGGTTAATTGGAACGATATCTTGTCTATGGTTTTACGTAATGATAGAGGATACGTTAGTCGAACGTTCATTTATCATTTCATAATACAGTCTGACAACGATATTTACCTGATCCACCATCTTTTACTACTATTTCATTCAGCGGAATTGGCTATGGTGTCAGGATAATTAATATTCATTGTTCCACGCTATTCGATAGCATTCAATAATTTAACGTACCGGTCGGTATAGGGTATACTTGTACCCTCTACTGGGATTTCTGAGTTGTTCGCATAGTATTAACATATCATTGAACAAATATCCATATAATTTTCTGCTGCTCTTTGCCTTCTGTAATGGTCCTTCCATAATGTATTGCCTTTTCCCAACAAATTTTGTCATGCTCGTCAACTCCAATTTCTACAACATTAAAAATAAAAGTAAAACCCGGTAAGTAACGCATTGTCGGTCAACTGTCCGAACTGTTCAGTCCTATCTACTGCTTCTTACCTCGCCAAGTGTCTCAAAATCAACAATTTTGGTTATCTCTGCGATTTTCAACTTATTCTCTTGATCTCTAATTGCTTCATCCGTCTCTTCGAGCACACTTTCGGCCTTTTTTAAAGCTTGCATCATATTTTCATGATCTGTGTGATCTTTCTCTGTATAATGAAGAATCTATAGACGCAAAAAATTTGCTCAAACAAAATGAACGCTAGCATAATATCATCGCGAAATAAAAGTACCTGGCGCAAGAGTAACGGATATCGAGTTATTCTTTGCATTGGTTGTAACAAAAAGCTTGAAAGATCAAGGTTTCTGCATTGCGGTTCTTGTTGCTGTTTCTAAAAGACGAACCAGAAAGCGCGCAAGTCACGTTAGTATACTGATGACAATTAATCGAAAATATTATGATCGTATACAAAAAAAAGCTCTCACCTTCAAGAACTGATCAAGTTCGCGATCTGCACTTCTCCTCATGATCAAGAATTTACTCGCATTCATCTGATTACCACAGTATTCAATATAACATGTCAGATTGTCTGCATGTTTCAAAAACACGTCCCCTATACATTCCACCACGATTCCTTCTTCTTGTCTCTGTTCAAGATCGCTTAGTAAGGCCGTGTTCACAAGTAAGATATCGTCAATGTTTGCAAAAAGGGTAGTCAGCTCGGATGAAGAAAGACGAGATTGAAGAGGAGAATAAAACGTTTGGATTATCATTTGGAGATCGCAAAGGTATGATTGTTCTGTAAGAACGAGTTCATGAATTGCTTCTTGTCGTTTGACGGTCTGTTTGGAAAGAGTGGCTAGAGTGGAAGGTGGGATTAATGATGCCCAAGATTGACTCGATAGACCCTTATTAGATATTCGAAACGTAATGAATGAATAAAGTTAAATATAAGAATGCGGAATGGAACAAAAACTTTTTGGCTGTAATCAATGAAGACATACCACTGGGCTTTTTGGTCGAATTCCACCAAGCTCAGACGATACACCGAACGATTGTTTCCTATGTCGCGAAGGTATCCACGATACACTGCTAATAGGACTAGATCCAAATAACCGCGTTGGACTAGGTGTACGTGATCCATCCATTCTGTCAGGCGATGCTGATCTTATTACTAAAGAAGGGACTCGAGTTATTCTCTTTTGTATTTCTTCATCCGCCGAATCCATGTCATCGTCGACATCGTCGTCTGTATATTCCAGGTTGAATGGATCTTCGGGATCGGATACTATCTCTTGATTGTCGTCGGGTACAGATGAATCTTGGAGATTTAGTGACGAATCTAAGGGCAGAAATTTGTGAGAGACAATAGAAAGGAAAACGAAAAGTTGATGTTTTGCACAAATTTGGTGACAAATCGGCAAAACAGAATACAAATACATAGACGCATTCAGATATTTCATATTATTTGAATGGTGAAAGTAGTTCAATAAAATTTTTTGTTAGGTTGTGAACAGTCAATTGTTGAAACAACCGTTGGTGGGCATTTCACGTAAAGTTGGTCACGTTGGGTACAGGCCATAAAAATATAAAAAAGAGAAAGAGATCATTACTTTTTCAATTCTCATAAGCAAAAAATTTTTTCTTAATAAATTCATTCAATAAAATATTACATTGTTCGTTAGAAACCCTCGCCCCCCACCCCTACCCCTCTTCCACAACCCTCTCTGTATTGTAATCCCTAACATCTTCAATAATACAAACAAATGTTTTATAGTTGATTTTACAAGAATAAAAGCTCCGAATAACAAATTAACAAGTATAGATATAACAAATAAATTCTATTAAATCAAGTGCCAAAGAAAAAAAGAAGAAATCATAAAAAGAAGACTTTATATTAAAAGAGAATTGGCATCACTAACCGCTACTACTAGAAATCTCTTCGACATAATTTGCTGGAACAAATCCCTTTGCTCCTTCATGTTCAACTTTCCACCAATGGCCCAGGGATTTGTCAAGGATTATGACCACGGAATCCTTTTTTATGGTAAGCTCTTCAGCCGTCTGAGCAGCATAATCGTAAAGCACGCGGGCTGTTGAATATCAGAACGATGGAACATTAGCAATAGCAACATTGATTCTGAGCAACAAATTAATTCGAACAATTAACCGTAATATATATGACTATGGACTACATAAGTGTTCATCGTACCTTCCGTTACGTCCTCGACATAGTTCTTAGGAAGCCAACCTTTCGTTCCTGTCTCTTCAATAATGCCAAACCACCAATCAGGATTTTTATCCTCTTTACTCGGATAAGCCTTAAACACGGTTCCAGCTTCAAATGGTAAATCATCAGGCCCGGTTCCAGCGAAGGCATATAAACTTTTCACTTTGTGCATTTTTTCAAAGTCGACGTTTTCCTCTGAATTAATAACATTCGTTGTTATTGGTGATGCAACTCGTTCAGATGTGTCACCAAATACGTCAGTTTCTTTCTCTTTTTCTTCCTCCTTCTCGTCAACTGTGACCGGCTTTGTCGCGTATGTATCATTAGAGGCAAACGTGTCTGACGCAAGACTATCATACCATTCCGTATCTCTGCGATTAACTTCCGACTTATTAGAAGAATTCGTTTCGGCTGTGCGGCCTGTATCTATTGTGCCACTACGACTAGCAAGTCTGGGAAATCCCCCAGCAAAAAGACCACCTAAACCTGCCAAGAGAGGAGAAGAAGCTGCGCCCGCCGGCGAAGACGACGAAGTAGATGCGGATGCGGATGCGGATGTACCAGCCCCGCGTGATTGGCCTACGTAAAGTAAGATGTTCGTGTTCATTCCATGAGAATTAAGATAAAAATTACGTATTAAATAAATTATTACCTCCAATAGCAGGAGACGACCGGTCATTGGTTACTGTCGCCTTCAACCGTGCGCCTTGTCGAATTTGGCTCAAAAGAGCATTCCGTGAATCAGACGATGGAGGCAAACTAGAACTTTGAGTTGGTGGAGGAGGAGCAACTGGTGGTGTAGAAACGGCCGATGTTGTAGAAGTGACTGGTGGTGGAGTGGGAGCAACTGGTGGTGTAGAAGCGACTGGTGGGGGAGGAGGAGCAATTGGTGGTGTAGAAACGACTGGTGGGGGAGGAGGAGCGGGTGGCGGAACGCTACTAACCTTTGGAGTGTCGTCAAAGTCTCTCTGTCGCGCTGCTTCCATTTTAGCTAGTTCTCTTTCTCTTTCTTTTTCTCGTTCTCTCTCCCTTTCCCTTTCTCTTTCCCTTTCTCTCTCTAGTTCCATCTCTCTTTCTCGCGCTCTTTGTCTGTCCAATTCTCTTTTTCTCTCTAGTTCAATTTCTCTCTCTCGTGCTTTCTCTCTCCCCCTCTCTCTATCTCGTACTCGTTCTCTTTCTCTTTCCATTTCTTGTTCCATTTCTCGTTCTCTTTCTCTCTCTCTTTCTCTTGCCCTCTCCTGTTCTCTTTCTCGTTCTAATTCTCTTTCCTTTTCCCGTTCCCTTTCTCGTTCCTTTTCTTTTTCCTTTTCTCGATCCCTCAACTTCGCCTTCTCCAAATCTTCCGCTTCTGCAAGCCATTGGGCCTTACGGGCTTCTTCTTGTCTTTTATACTCTTCCAGTCGACGCTCTCTTTCGGCATTCTCTTCAGCTTTTCTCTGTTTATCTGCCAACAGCTTTTCAGTACGAGCACGTTCTCTCTCTTCGGCTTCGGCTCGTTCTCGTGCTAGGCGTTCAGAAACAGAAAGCGTTGACGACTTTGAAGTGTTCAATGAGGGATCTAACCCGAGGCGTCTTAAGCTTTCTTGCATTCGACGTTCCGCTTCGGCCTGTATGAATGCTGCACGCTCTTCCGGTGTCTTGGGTTTTAATGAAAAAGAATTTCCTGAAGACGGAGGAGTAGACGAACTGTTTACGCTTGATTCGCCTTCCTTTTTTAAATAACTATTTGTGCTTGATTCACCCTCTCTTCTTGAATAACTGCTTGTGCTCAATTCGCTCTCTTTTCTTAAATAACTGCTTGTGCTCGATTCACTATCCTTTCTCAAGTAGTCACTATCCTTTCTTAAGTAGCTTGTTGTGCTTAAGTCGCTTTCTTTTCTTAAATATCTGTTTGTGCTTGATTCACCCTCTCTCCTCAATTCGTCAATGAATCGTCTCACTTCGTCTCCAACATCAATGCCATCTTCCCATTTTCGACGCTCTTCATAAGATATCTGTCCGTCCGTTTCGTAATGTCGCAAGACATCAGAAATTTCTTCTTTTTCTCTCGCAAATCTGATCAGCATATCTTGTATGCGTGCCACTGTTCTTTCAATCTCGGCTACACGTTCTTCGCGAGTTGCTCTTTCTGCGTTAACTGCAACGGCTTTCTCTTCAAATCGCTTTGCCGCATCCGCGTCTGTTCCCCCGGTGGATACCGGTTTACCAGTGAGAGCGGCTAATCTCGCTTGTACCATAGCTTGAGCTTTTGCCTTGATTCTGTCTGCCTCAGTGATAGTACCACCAGGGCCTGTGCCAATGATTTCAAGTGTTGAACCTGAATTCTTAGTGTCTCGTAATTTGAAGAGCGCCAGTTTGGCTTCGGCTACTTGATCATCAGTTTTACGTATTGTCTTGATCAAGTCTGGGATAGTTGATGAGAGCGAATCGTTCATCTCTGACTCTAATCTCCGGTGATCGTCCAATAATGTCCTTAATTCAGTAAAGTTCCGATCTTGCTCTCTTGACACAGAATCACCGGGCGACAGTCGGATTATTTGTGAGTGTAAATCGCGTATATCCCTCTTCAGAATCTCTATGTCATCACCACCACGTTCTGAATATGCTTGAGTAGGAATACTTTCAGCGCTATATAACAATGCGTCCAACGTAATTTCCTTCTCATGTACTTGTTTCCTTAATTCCTCCAGATTAAGTTTCTTCTTCGTTTCTGGCTTAGGAGTTGTCAACGGTGCTCTTCTCCTGGCAGAGCTAACGTACCCAACGTCATCATCATCGTGTTTGTATGCAACAGCATCTTGTTTGACATCAAGCGGGTTTGTGCTTGCGCCAACGTTAAAGCTTCTCGACTTCGTGTATTGATTACTCGTTGGCTGTGGAGACAGACGTTGCGCTTGACTTTCTCTTACAATGATGTTTGTGAGTTTATCCACACTCTCTGCAAGATCTCTAGACGATGGAGGCATCAGTTCAGGTGGTAGAGTGGCTGGGACATCGTAACCGTTGAGTTTGCGATAGATTAGATGCATTGCCACTGCAAATTCATCGATGTTTAATTTTCCATGATTATAAGGATCTGCCAAGTGCCTAAAGAATATCAAGACAAAAAAAGCGAAATTCAATGTGAAATTTTGGTTTAATGTTTAATTAACCGTTGTTTCCAGCAGCTTATGACATAAGCGTTAGCGAAGAATTTACCATATTTGCATTAAAACATCTCGAGGAAGCCCAGTTTGTGAAAATATTTCTCTTGCCTTTTCGCCTGTTAACAATACGTAAATATGATCAATGGTACAAGAAGAATATTAAGACGATAACAATCCACGCAGTGGCTACTACTACTTTTAATTATTCTATGTTTGTTTTTTCACCTGCTTCAAACTACGATCGATATCTATCTCGGTTGTTGGTACACTCACCGCTTAGATATCCACTTCCATTCACGTCCCAAGCCTTGAAAATTTCTCTGTATTGCATCTTTTCTTCATTAGTTACTGCCCAAGGTATTTTCGCATTTCCTTGTAATCCCTGAACATTGTACTGGAGTGGTGGATTTTGTTGAGGCATAACTCTCTGAGCCAACATCATGAAATTCTGTCCTAGTAATCCGCTTGCCGAGGAGACTCCGGTGGGTACTGGTGAGATAGAAGCTATTGTAGGTATAGACGAAATTGTAGACATTCCGGTGTATTGCTGTTGGACCATTGGGGGTTGTACGGAACTCATCTGAGGAGTAGCGTTCATTTGAATGAGTGGTTGTTCGGATACTTGTTTTTGCTCGATCGCTTGAATTTGGCCGATTACTCCTTTCACTTCAGACAGAATGTTATCAGGTGTTGTGGATGGAATTTCACGCCCGTTAAGTTTATGGTTGGTCAAGTACATTGCCAGAGCAAACTCCGGGAATGTTAAGTAGCCAGTTTGGGTTATATCAGACAGGTTCCTGTGAACGACAGACGAAGTCATCAGTAAATTGCTTGATGAAAAAGAGATCGATCGTTCGAATAAATAACTGTGCTGTCTTACCATATCTTGGCCAAGACTTCTGGCGATAGTTTTGACTTGATGAGAATGGCCTTAGCCTGTTCAGCTGTGATTATATATCCTTTCTATTAATATCGATACGATCACAGATGCATTACTATACTGCCAACATTACCTGTCATATATTTTCCTCCAGCAACGGTTGAGCGATATAACTCCTCGAACTTTGTCTGATCTTTAGCGGAGATAAACGATAACCTTACTATAAATTAAAAAAATGATATGGTTATATTATCATCGTATTCTTGCTGAAATTCAACGTTTGTACTCATACCGTTTGGTATGTGTGGCCCACCACCTGTGCTGGCAGGCGGATTACCCGACAATTGTGGTTGCAGGGGAGGTTGTCCATAACCACTGATTCCTCCCAGTTGTATGTTGGCGTTGACAGGAACGCCAGCCAACTGTGGTTGTAGAGAACCTGATTGTCCATAACCTCCAACTCCTCCTAGCTGCAAGTTGGTATTGACAGGAACGCCTGTCAATTGTGGCTGTAGAGAAGGTGATTGTCCATAACCCCCAACTCCCCCTAGTTGTAAATTGTTATTATTGTACATGCTTCCTTCACAATCTTTATTCCGTGTTTATATTGTTGTCAAATTTATTATTATGTTTATTACTTAATTTAAACAGACGAGTTCATATGTATCAAAGGTCATAAATGAACTGCGCATAAATTACCAGATGTATCGTAATTTGGGTTTTTTTACGTTTAGCGCGAGTCTTCAAAATTGTGAACTGTTCTACAAACGGAAACAACCCTATCAATAGAAGTTACACAAAATGTAATAAGTATTAATTAAGTTATAGTTTAAGTTAACTTCCTACATTAAAAATACTTAGATAAGAACAAGTCCTGTAAGTGAATAAGCTCCCGTCAGCCTAAACTGTGACAAGATATCAAAGAAGAATATTGTGAGCACCATTGATATCTCTATCAAGGCTTCTTTTTTCAGTCCATCTAGCTATCTATGAATGTAACCACAGTCCACAAGTTTTACTTGTGTAAGGGTTCACACTCGCGTGTCTTAAACCATGTGCACATTGTTTGAGCAATCTCAAACCAAAGCGTCATTACCCACGTCGGACCATTCCTTGAGAGCGAAATTCGGTAGTAATAATTTTGACAAAGCTGTCTATTCACCAGACAACAGATCCTTTTGCGAACGCGTAACTAGTCTACAATTTAAAGTGGTAAATATATCTAAATAAATATTAAAAAATATGCATTGACAATTTTCGTTCTTCCAGCAAATGTATGCAAGTTGACCAAATCAAAACATTTCCACCAAATAGCAACCGTTTGTGTTGACATGTAATCAACTTTATCTTACCGAGTTCGACTATGTACGTAATTTCATTATATCGAGTGGAATGTAATAGTACTATTTTTGTTTCAGGAAATCTTCACTATCGTGCCAAATATCTGGCATTCATTCTACATAACCACATCAATCTATTCATCGTATCTACGACTCATTCTGATATTTGAGTGACGTCTTTCAGTGGAGTAATAGTATTCGATGTGCCACGACAACAAGGTAAACACGTCTTATTCGTTTTGACAGTACGAGCGACACCAATTTAACACAACAGCTGGCTCCTCTGTCACTGAAATTTTAGTAGAATCAGATAGATGGCTCAACGTTGAAAACGATCCAAACGCACAACATTATTTCCGTACGCTTTGGCATTGTGGTTCGATAATGCTGCTGAATGTGAGATCTCGGTTAATGGTTCTATTTCTCAGGAAAAAACATTAGATTTTGCTCGACTAATTGTACCAGATGCATAATTCACCGCATCTATCGGATGGTTAGTTAAAATTTAGGTAAACAATTTTGAGGTTGCCAAATCAGGTGAGCACATATCAACTGAGCGCCTTATAGAAGACGGGAAATTACAATAGACCCGACATTTATAACAGTGACGAAACTGCATCCGAAACTCTTTACACAGAAATCATCGCGAAATTCTCTTGATACTGGATAATAATAATGCTTCATAAGTAGAATGAAGAACATGAATTAAGCGATATCGATTTCCTTTTTTTACCACAGTATAAGTACATCTGTTGGTCATTTAAGATTATCGCAAGTTGTTTTGCCAAAATAGGAATCAGTAAGCCATCAGTCGATGAGTGGCGCGAGGCATTGAAGCAGACGAAGATATTTCAAACTTTGTTGTTTTGGCGCGTCGCTAAGATATGTAAACGGTTAAATGCTTGCATTCAACAACAAAGCGAATTGAAAAACCTTCAGTTTAACAGTTGTCAATGTATCAAATCCTGTAAGAACATTATTGATATAGTTGACCATTTGGGTTGGAACCAAGCGTGTCGTTATATCGAGACCCTCCAAGCTCTCAAACAAAATACATTTGAATGCCAATGGATGGAATACCTTAAAAGAAAACGCGTACTATTATTTGCTTGCTTAAATAACCAGGATAAATTCCTTATTCATTTTTTATTATTTACTACATTCTCTTTTTAAAATATATACTAAAAAGCCTCATATTTGTGCAAGAGGAAGAAACTCTGTAAATCCCACTTTAATTCTTTAAAATGGTCACAAACTATAATCAATACGCGCTATGCGCTGTAGTTCTAATGTTACTATTATATTACAGAAAGATAAAGAAAGTAGGAAAGCATAGTTTGCCATTTAATAGAATAACCGAGGTTAAAATATCGTTTGAGGATTTGTTTTTCGAAATCATTAATATTTTTGCCTAATGACTTTTTGTAATCATATTTTTCAAGTCAATCGTATATATAATCATAACCCTTTTCCCCGAATTTCATTTCACTCTCCCATGCCATCGTCCTCATCTTCTCCACTTCCACCCTCAATTATTTTCTTCTTCTTCCTTGCTCCTTTCTTTCCACCTTGTTCTGTAACAAAACGTTTCTTGCTCCCTCTGGGCCGCCCTCTATGTCCAGAACTAACTCGCTTTACTGGTTTCTTTGCAGACTGGAAGTTAGATGACATCATGACATCAAATTCAGTATTAATATGAAATGAAGTATGACGGGCGTCAAAGTCGAGATCGAGATATTCAGCTTCGGCGAATGGTTCGGATTGGGTTCCATCTTCAGACATAAGTTTTTGGAACTTCATCGAATAAAATTGAATGAATATATGTGGCAATCAATACGCCCTAACCAAATCAATTCTACTTACAGATTCGCATTGTTGCTGTACAGCTTCTTTAGTGTCCATAGGCTTATCAACAAACGGCAGCTGCTTCCATGATATCACTGATGCTGCATTCTGATGACGAATTGCTGGCTTGTCCTTGTGATTACTACTAGTTGCCGGATTAAAGTTCTGGCATTTACTGAGAGAGAATGTCCGTATGCGAAAGGAAAACGGGATAACGTAAAAGTGTTATTGCATAAGTTATGGCATAACCAAGTATATTTGTTAAATAGTGATGATGGCACTAACGAGTTAATTCTATCATACTTACATTTCGCTTAGAGAATATGCCCTCTTCAGATGTTCTTTAAGATACATCAAAATAGCCATGCACACTGAGACCCTGGCTGCAAATGGCAAAGGTAATATAGTCTCTGTTTACAATAAATAAGCGTATTAAATACCATCGAAAGCCAGTTCCTCGTACTGTCAACATGATTCAATTGTAACAAACCTATTTCTTGTTTTGCTACTGAAGCGTCAGCATTATACTTTTGTTCTCCATCCTCTTCACTCTTTATTTCATCTGTTTTCTTTTCATTAAGTTGAAAGTCCTTTTGATCATTGACATAACTCTTTCCCGCTGTATCGAGATCGTTACCAATATGCATTGTTTCGACGGTGGCACTTGGAAGTAACAAATCTCTGCGAACATCTTCAGTCTTGATGCCCAATTCTCCCATGTTGCTATCGAAAACAAATTGAATGCTGTTGTTCATATTATCACTCCTTGCGTTAATGTCCACGTGATTGTCCGTGCTCACGACGTTGTTACTACTCATTCCACCATCTATATTGTTGGTTACGATAGCCGCGTTCCCAAATTTTGAAAAGTCTCCATTTTGTGGTAACGTTTCTAGAATTGATCCGGACACGTTCGTTACCGTGTCAACAGCGGCTTCAGCTTTATCCGCAACCACAAGCGTCTTTTCATGGGCTTGGATCGAGTGTAATACGCTTATTGCTACTACCGAGAGTACTCTGTTGATCCAGTATATCACGTGTAGTACTTCTTCATTCGTCTTATAATCGATCGTCGCGAGATTCTCTGCCACAAACTTGCAAAAACCAATATCGACCTTTACCGAATATATAATCATTTAAAGTTGAATCGTCACATTACACACAGGGCATACCTATATCACATCAGCATTACCTTGCATTCGTCACATTTTTTCAAGTCAAAGTCGAATATTTTGACGACTGAGCTAAGAAAATCATTACGACGTTGTCGTTTCTCGCGTAGTAGACAGTACATTAGATTCAACAGTGCTTCGGGCTGACCTTCTTGAGAACGCGTAGCGTAACCTGGCATGAACACAATAATCAGTAACAACAGTACTGAATATCAAAATAAGGCGTACGATGCTTACCAACTACAGGCTGATCACCCATCAACTGCTTTTGAAAAGCATACGCTTTCCTAACACAATCAACATTCCGTGTATGTATCAACGAGGCATGTTTTTCATTGAGATGTTGGTGTAGTTTGAAAGCCTTATCACGAAAGACAGTTTCGGGGCTTGTCTCCAGGGCGACTATCGTCGGCATGCACTATGCGTCCAAACACCAGGCATAATAATAATTAAATTAGGAATCGACAAGTTACCAGAATAACTTTACCGACGATTTTCATGAACAACTTTGTGATCTATTATATAACTTACAAGAACGGGATGAGCGAGTCCTTGTTGAATAATATTGCCAAGTACATCCAGCGCAACAATTTTCAAATTTTGATTGTGATCAAACGTGCATTCGAGTATACTTTCGAGATATCGTTGCATTAGAGAGCTGCTGACACTATTTATGTAACGACATTGTATAATGCACAAGAGTTGTGTGTACATGGAATCAATGACAGGAATTGAAAAGACAGTCACGTAATAATGCTAACGCAGCTTTCTGAAATCAACATACCCAGCCTCAGCAAATTCGTCAGCATTCCCTATTAACACTTTCAGATCCACGGGCGTATTTTTTTTCTTTTCTGTAAGCGACAGTCAGGTTCAAGATGCCGTTAGAAAGTCTTTAATAACTATACACAATGTTCCTATACATGCGCTCATTCACTACACTTACTTTTCTCTTCAAGGTCAGAATTAATCTTTTGCTGTTCTCCAACCAAAAAGTCCAGAAACACCTTCATCAACTGAATTTTCATATCCATAACGTCACCCCGCAATATCCTGTCCATCAGGCCAGTACTCTCCGGCCGGAGCATGATAATCGGGTTAGACAGGTAAATAGAACCGAGGCTATGAAGGGCCACCTTTTGAACAGCTTCGGAAAGTGCTTCCTTGCAAAAGGATAGCACCAGCTCGAAAACTATTGGAATTATGGGACCCTGAAGTAAGAGGAATGAAACGAATTCAGGTAATACCCGTTTTGTTGGACGGTTAGTGTTGGTTAAGTTCAAGTTGGTACACAGGAATTGTCCTGTTGGTTGTGTTATAATATACCTTATCGATAAAAAGAAGATCCTTTAATTTATCTGAGGATTAGATGAAAATGGTACCAGATTAAATAATGAATAAGAAAGCAAGACTACTATTGACTGGGAAATCTCACTTTAACCATACCTGGTTTCTCTTGTCGTTTTTTGTCAAAATCAAAGTTTCTGCAAAGTAATCCAATAATTAAGAGCAGCAATTTAACATTGGCAACGGATGATAAATTTTGAGCGTTGTCTAATCGTTTTCGTTCCAGTCTTAACTTTTCTATTAAAGTATGATATAATCAGTCTACTGGCACACTCTTGAAACATTTCTGATATGTATTACTTACCAACACATGATCGAAGCAGCTTTGTCAATAGATAATATTTAAAGGTTAATTTATCGACTATCAGACAGAGACAAGGAACAGCTTCTTGTAGAATCTACAAGATTCACGATAATGCCAGTTAAATATAAATATATGCTTTCTCAAAATATCTCCTGCAGTTACCAATTACAACCTTCTGCGAGCTTTTAGTCAACAAATTGACCAACGCCTCTTCGACATCGCTCAAAAACTTTTGATTGGCTAGCTTTAGCAACGGGAGGACACTTCTGTATATCATTAGGACATAGTACAGAATCAACTGATCTTCTGGCTATTAAATTAATCATACACGTTAATAAAAAATAAGCACAATAAACTTAATACCAATGTATGATATGAATAAACGATATTCCTACCGTACTAGCACTCTTTAGATACGGCTGGAGAGTTACCACGTGACGGCGAACGAGGATCGGAGAAGCAGTGCTCAAAAGACATATTGTACTTATGCACCCCACGACTTCAGTCTGCATGCAAAGTATGTGAGCATCGGATGAGTGTTTTGCAATTACATTAATAAACATGGAGAATATATGACCTTTGAGTTTGCGTCTTGTAATGTCAAAAGATGTTCAAAAAGACAATCGACCATGCATTGACAAATATTTAAGATTTCTCGTTTCTGCTTTCCTTCTTTGTCAAGTATCTACAATATTAAACATCTTGCAATTAACACTAGAGCACAATACATAACGAAATCACAATATACTCATTGTAAATCAACCTTCTTGAACAGGCCTCCAAGTATGGCCCCGTTGCGTTCACCCAACTTGCCAGCAACACCAACGATCAAAAGACTTCTGTTGAGCACCTCTTTCTTACCAACAAGAGACATGTTGGCAAATTCATTAGGTACGTCATCATCCTCTGCTATATCATCCGTTTCAATGTTTATTGATCTCTGATGTTTAAATGGGGCGAACCAAAGCTCTTGTATGGTTTTCAGCGCCAAGTCCTGTAGAAACGAATAATGCCGACGCTAGTTAGGGAAGTACGATTAATTGTAAGTTGGAAAATGCATCGAGATCGTACTTTGACATGGTGATCATCATCGTTAATTCGGAGAAGTATTTTGCATCCTATATCGACCATCATTGAGCGATTGGTGCATTTGAGGTAAATGTCGCGAAGCAGTTTTATTACTCTTTTACGGACACTTAGACCGACATCCTGCGTGGAAACGAATCGCGTGTTCATGTTAACAAAGCCATGCTCAACCATTAACGTATCAGAAATTTTTTAGGATTTTTTCTCACCAAAATTCGGTCACTTATCACTTTGTAATATTGTTCGGTAATTTCTGGCTTTTGCGCAATGTATCTACCAACAAGATCAATGGCTGCATCTCGTACAGCTGGTGAACTGTCTTGCAGCCTCTGAGCTATAGTTTGACGAACATTAACCTGTATTGACATATGGAACCAATGTCAATGCCGAGGATATGGTAACACCATATAAAGCATGTTTACACTTCTTAGCTGTGACTTACCTGACTTAGTATACTAGGATCACAGATAACTACTTGCCCTAATGCTCGCAATGCTTTTGTCCTGAACGCAACTACGCCCAAATCTAAGGACACCAGAATTCGCGAAAGTATAGAATCAAAGCTCTGATATAGAGATTGTCTGGTTGCCAGAAGCTCAGTGACTAATAGAACGTCGGACCGATCTAATTCTTGCGATCTATATCAATAGCTATAGTTAATACCACGCTGATAACTCTGATTGTAAAACAAGTTGCTCTTTTTTACCTATGCCCAATTAACTGTTTATTATCGCGTTCGTCAACAGAAGTGTGCCAGAAGTCTTTTACTATTCTATGCAGCAATGTTTTCATTGCCTTTGTCGAGTTCTCATTGTCATTCGCATTGTCATCATCCTCATCATTGTCACGGTCGACACTCATCAAATCTGACGATTGATCATCTATTGACATGAGCGTACTCAATAAAGAATATCCCCATTCTGATATGTAAAATTGCCTAGCAGACTGTTATATCCATTAATAATCTGAACGCATGCGGATGGAGTCGCCTTGGTCAATACATCAGTCATACAACTCACCTGCAGCCCAGGATCTTCCAAAGCACCAATCTCCAAATATGTCAGTACAGTCTTCTGACATTTCCATAAATTCTTTACGGCAGCTACACTAGTAACATTAGTTATCTACAATAGAACATCACAACTGGTCCGTTAAACTTTTCTTCCTTTACGTTTAGCATAAACTCTCATAGCAACACAAACCTCTCCTTTAGGAATGTCTTTCATTCTATCTATCCAACTAAGATCTCTCTCATCCATATTATCTTCTTGCATTCCTTCAGAAGAAGATAATCCGTTGTTCGCATATTTTTTTATTCTTCCTGCTATCATTCCTAAATGGTCTATCGCCATTGATTTTGTATATGTATCCGCCTTCTTATCATCAATGTATCCAACCTGTGGCAATATATAATAGGCATAAATTTAACGCACAGTCTAATGTGTTATTAACTAGATAATCATGACGCGTTGATTACTGCTAACCATTATCTTGCTAAATATTCTCACAAACATTTCAGCAGCTGGCCACTCGGGATAATTAAGGACCGTTATTACATCTTCCATAAAATTATCGAGCAGCAGTCTGTATTCAGACTCGTTAGAGTTTTTTATAGATTTGGTACATCGTGATAGGAGGAATTTAAAAACGTATCCTGCATTTGCGCTTGCAGCATCGATTCCGGATTTCCAGGAACGTGAAATCTGCACGAATCAAAATAGTAATAATAACATTTATTATTAGTTATGGACAATGAAACACAATATGCATTACTAAGTCAATACAATGGACTAATAATTCTACCTTTTTGAAGTCATTTGACGTTCTGTCAATCTCAGATAGTAGCACTCCTTCACCATCTTCTCCAACTGATTTTTGTTTATGCTCCCCGAGTCCAGCAGTGCAGCTCTGAACCAATTGGAGAATGAGAGCGGATACCATCTGAATAGATTTACCGTCAGGCAATCTAAACATAAAAAGATACTTTTAAATCATTGTAATATAACCAATACCAATACATAGGTAATTTCTTCGGCATGCAATCACATATACACACTCATGCTCTCCTCCCTTTGCTCGCCCCCCCCCCCCCCCCCTCTTTTTTTACCTACCTAAACTGTCTCAAATTTCTCTTTGCAGTAGGCAACTTGATCAAAGATGTCAAAATTTCCTCTAATATCCACGTCCTCTGTTTATGATGATTGGTAAACACTGATCTTAGCAGTCCTAATGCTACAAGCTTTACTCCTTCCAATCCACTGTTGCCAAAGAAAGTGTTTGCATTGTTGCTTCCTGAATCTACGAAAAAGGGTCCGATGGCTATAAAGCTAACAGTTATTACTACACTGTCAGAAAGCTCTTCCTGTTGCATTAGATCGTAGAGGCGCTGGAGAAAATTGGTAAGGGTTGGTAGCATGGTTGATATTTGACGTCTGATTCTAGGAGTAAGAAAAGTTAAGGAAACTAGCGGAAGGTAAAATTATTTGGGGATGCAATCTTATAATCATAAAATTATAGAAACATGAGAACAATATGTAAAAGGATATTTTCCTAAATATTCTCTTAGTCCTGCATCAGATTCGTCTAATATTGAAGATTTAAGAAAGATGAGTATCGGGAGATAATCACACAAGAGAGAATTCAGATATAAATTTAACATACTGCTTAGTTCATCTGTGTTGGCACTCATTTCCAAGACTCTGTATATCACGCCAGTCAGTTGGTTTCTAACAAGATTTACACAAGATACAATCAAGTCCTCAGGATACAACTGAATCAGAAATGAAAATATTAGTAAGCAATAATAAATTATGTTCCTCGAATTATGCTATGCTTACGTATGACTCCCCAACTGTGATCAACCAACCTGCTTGCTCAGCTTTCCGCCAGTCATAATAGTAAATGCAGCAATAGCCGCCTCAATTCCATTCATAATCTTTTCAATCCTGTCCTCTACTCTCTGCATTTTGACATCCTCGTCTTCGTTCTCATAATCCTCCTCTTCCTTAGTTTTTCCGTTGTTATTTTTACCAGTCCCTCCAATTTTGACATTCTTAAACACGTCCAATGCCTCTACTTCTCTGATAGCTCTCTCTAATATCTTTAACACTCGGGACAAGTCCTCTACTTCTACGTCTTCCAATCGATGGTACTTTCTGGCTTTGTTTACGAGTTTGATGAGTTTGTGGGTTATTTCTGTGGTTAAAAGCGGTTCTTGAGAGGAGAGAGATGACGGAAGAAAAAAGTGATTTTCATGTGTAAAAGCGGGAGAAATGAGGGTGGTGGACGGGTCGGTAAGGGATAAAGAGTCTTCGGATTCGAATATTGCGCTTATAAAATTTATTAATTTGTTTAACGCGGCTGCATGATAGGTAAGCGATTAAAAGAGCAAGCGTTGTCAGTATAAAATAGGCATACTGATAGCATCAACAAACTTATGTTCATATTATCTGATCTCGTCCACGTTATAGCGTGACGCAACATACCATCACCGTTTCTCTCATCTTCTCGCTCTCTAGCTCTCTTCTGGCTATCATTGAATACTGATCGTCTATTTCCATCTCCACCGTCATGTACAGAATTTTTATGAATGACGGCACTAATGTTGTTATTAGGGAGATTTTTCGGAGCACGAGTGTTACTTGCACGATTGTTGTCGTTGTTGCGTGTAATTGAACCAGTCGTTCCACCCGATGTTGTTGCCGGGAGTATAAAAGTACTTCCATATTCATTATTGTTAAACGTTGTCTTTGATATTGATGAAGAGTTAACTGAACCCGATACTGGTAATTGAGGCTCTTGATTATACTGATTTGCAACCACTATAGATGCTTTTGGATCAATTGTCTGTATGTGACTTTTTTGCGATATCGATGTTCGATAATCGTTCGTAAACTCAAAGATAGGTTGTGTGTATAGTGACTGTGCTGGGTTCTTGAATCGACTGTACGGAGCAAGGGTTATATCATGAACAAAATTTTCGAAGTAAAGCAATTGATGTTATCACTAATACACTTTTCTTTTAGCCGAACTTACATATAACTAACATCGATTTGTTCCAAAGCATATCTTGCAGTCTTCAACTGACTTTGTAATTCTAAATCAACTTGTTGTGACGTAGAAGTGTCAAATAATGCGGCTATATTTGCATACTGTGGGTCATATATATTACATGTCGAATGTTCAAGATACGCGATCGATACCGAGGGCAGTTCTCCAAGAACTATGAAAGACAAATCAAAGGTCAATTAACGGATCAATGTCAATTGAATAAACTGGTAACGAATCAAGTCAATTACACTCAAGGTTCACATGCAACACTCGGGTGACTTTCGTAATCACATACCAGCAGTAGCAGGAGTAAATGTACTTATGGCTGAGTATGAGAGAGCAGAGCGTACATCAGCCGGAGTAGCAGTGAGAGAGCTTTCACTTCCCTCGCCAATATACTTGTCACCACTTGGACAGTATGAGGTATTCATTATATTAAAGGCAGACACAACGACGGAACAAAGTACATATGATCATACAAGTAATTTAAGAATATTATATAATATATTATTAGTAGTATAGTACTTTTATAACAAATAACACTATTTTACTCTATAGGAAAGATCAGTATAGGTGAAGGAAGGGAATATTATACTTTGAATTAAGAGAGAAGAAAGTGAAAATTGGAAAAGAGGTTCGTGTTCTATATAATTTTGACTTGTTATTTGTACAATACACCCCATGCCGAGATTGGGGTGAGGGGTTTTGAAACGTCACCACAAACAAAAAATATGTATGATGATGTATTGAATGTATTATTATTATTATTATTATGTATTGACTGTATTTACGTATTTATGTATTTATGTTTGATGTATTGGATGTAGGAAGGAGGTAAATATAAGGCAAAGGACTGCGTCGAATCAACCGCGTCAATTAGACATTAGAACACTGAAAGACTGTAATTGGTTTTACTTACTCGGCGAACGAATTAGTGATGTCATTATTCGTTCAGCCTTATGATAGAAACCGCATACTGTTTCAATTTAAATTGGAAACATCATAAAAATATGGTCTCTTTAGTATACAGCTGACCGGATGAATTTTTATCAAAATACCGAATATATCATATGGATTAATATTCAATTTTGCGTTGGAAGAAGATGCATTATCAATGAATGCTTCTAAATTTGGATTACATACTAACACAAAGCTGAAACACAGTTGCACGATACCGTAAGAGGACAAGAATAAAGCTACAAACCACACCCGTATTAAAAACCTTTATTACTAATAATAATAACTTTACATAATAATAATAAGGTAATAACAAGTTCTGTTAAGAGAATAGGCTCTCGAGTCAGCCTAAACTGACTTCTTTGTATTTGTTGAAGAAAAATTTTGTGTGCACTATTAATATCAAATGTTTGTTTGCATTGGGGATAACAAACCATCTTAATCTTGGACTTTTTATGAATATGACCGCAGAGTCTGATCTTTTATTTGTGTAGTCTACACGTTACTACTTGACTATGACACCAGGGATGCTCTCATACCTTGTTTTGTAATTGTAATAGTAATGATGAAACACTGACATTCAAATATTATGCAATCAGAATGTCTCTTCCTGGATTAATCATTATAAACTCATAATAATAAATATTAATGTCTTCAGATTGACAGCTCAAGGTCGAATTGAGTCAAAACATTTATTGAAGTGCATGACATTGTGCTGAATGAAACATCACAGATAAATCCAAAACTGGTACAGTGATGGATAATTGCTTTATTATTATATCATTGATTTGAATATTTGGGCCTTGAAATACTGCAAGTAGTTATAAAAATACCTTTTGTGAGTTACTTAATTGCTAAAAGTTTGCATTCGATTACTATTACTATTACTATTGAAATCCAGACTAAAATTAGAATCATTTGCTATGCAAAGTAGTCATAATAATAATTAAACCTTATGTTTTGAATTGTGATTGTTAATTAAAAATTAAAAATTAAATATTAATATCAGTCATGGGACATGTCCCCGTACAGGGGTTCGAAATGTTGTCAATAGTGATGATCAGCATGCCGATCACGATT